TAATATGTTATGTTACCATTTGACCAAGGTACCCCACTTCCTCACACACCCAAGATGTGTTCATGTATCTCGAACTCCCAAAGAAATGAAAAAAAAAGAATTTTCTTTCATGAAGTTCAAGGAACTGAAAGCATCAATTTGATTCATTCAGTTACCCCAAATTCATAGATGTCCTTTAAACCTTTCAAAGCCTCCATATTTTAGGCACTTTTTTTTTTAACAATACCTAATAAACAAATGGAAAAGGAAATTGTTGAACATGAATTCTGAGAAACAGCTAGGGTGGTATGGTGGTGAAGATGTTGGACTAGGAGGAGGGAGACCCATGTTCTAGTCCCCCCTCATCCACAGAAGCTCACTGGGAGACTTTGAGCCAGCCTCTTTGCTTAGCCCATTCTACCCAACAGAATTGTAGTTGTGGGGAAAAATAGGAGGGAGCACGATATACATCATTTTGAGCTTCCCAACAAAAGGTAGGATAGGAATCTAATAAATAAATACTTTTTGCACTCTAACCATCATCTCACCCACAAAGGTCTACGTGTGACAAGAGACGTGCATCTTCACAATAAGCAGAGAAAATGCTTGGATTAGCTCAAGCACAACAGTTTGACCTTCAGGACTGGGCCATAGTTTGGAGTATTCTTGCCACCACTATGAACTGGACTTCTCATGGAGCACAAGTCAAATAGAACCCATCCTATTCTGGATTGGAGTTCAATTCACAGGTTAATAGCTAATCAAGGGTCATCTGAACCATGGAGTGAATGAGTATGAAAAAGGAGATAAATGTAGCCTTCAGGACTGTTCACATGTTACATGAAATGAACTGTTTAGCAAAGTCACCTCTTGTCCCAGAAGCCAAGCTGGCTGCTCCATCAAGGTTAATGTCTAAATGCTGCAGTGACATCTGTGGATCAATTGGACCCATCAGGCTGTGAATGTGACCTATTTTAATTGCTCTACCGTCCTTCTGGGACTTCAGAATCTTTTTATGGCTTTTAAGAATTGATCGGATCATGATAAAAGGGAAAGCATCACAAATCTGCTATGAATTGAATTTCCATTTTGTTTGCCTCATCATATGCAGTTAAACAGATGACCACACAGGAACTTCAAACTATATAGACAAGGCCAGAACTGACACCCTATTGCAGAACTAGACAATGTGGTCTTGGTGGCTAATTTTTTCCTATTATTTTAATCACAAGTCACATAACTGGTCTGATTTTTCTGTTTGTGGGCCTGTCACAAAACAAAAAGGAACGCAATGCTTTGTTCAGAAGTGTGTCCATATGCCCCACCACCACCAAAGACCAAGTGAAGCTGGATTAATACAGAGCAAACTGGGGAGCTAGAAGGAGCAGCAAATCCTCATCTATTTGTCCTACAATATATGGGTCGTTTATGACTGCTTGAATAGCAGGCAGAAGCTGTGGCTAGAGGGACCTTTAGTCAGCTCTGGCCAGTATGCCAACTGTGGCCCTGCATGGTGCAGAATGGCTTCCCTACAGGAACTTATGCCCTCATTACCACCTGGATAGACTACTGCAATACTCTTTATGTGGCACTTACAACTTATAATTCAAGATCATCAATAATGTTGTCTGAAGTTCCTGGAAGCTGTAGTTCAAAACATCTAGAGAGCTACAGGTTGCAATCAACTCTGATTGACAAACTGGAAAGAAGACTGTACAAATGAAACTCTTCAACCAAGTAGCCAATCATAGTTACAGAATGCACAGAAATGAAAAACTTAATCGCTTGACGAGATGGGTGGTGACAAATTTGATAAATTAAAAAAAAATTCAGAATGTCAGGAGATGATCTAAGAGTGAACTCTGGCTGATGCATCAGCAGATCCCCCCTATGAAATGCATCCAGATATTTTACTTAAACCACATCAGTTGAAATTGAACAATACAAGAAGATAGAAAGGATTGTGTAGCGGGCTTCTGTACTTCTCAGAGAGATTATCTTGTCCAAATCATTCAAGCATTGCACTTTCTATAACTGACATGTAATTATATAGGGTGAGGGAATTCTCCAGAATTGCCACACAAAAATCAGCTAATCGTCTTGGTTGTGTCGTTTAGGATAAAAAGTTCACCTGGAAGTCAGCCTAAATCCCATCATGGGGCAGCGGTGGTAGAATAGCTGATTTTGGGATGATGAAAAGCAAGCTAGTAACATCTTAGGAGCAAATAACAAATGGCCATCAGAGAATCTGCACAAATGTTAGATGGACAATTGTGTCTTGTAAATAGTGACTATCAGTAAGAAGTATGATTTGGGGCCACATACACTTAATATGGTCAACCTATATAATCCTACCAAAATGTATGGGACATTCAGACTCGTTGAAAAGCCTCATAGTGAATGCGCCTGGCCCTAGCAGCCCTTATCACAAGTATTGAGTATCTCCCTTGCAGATCAGCAGGAAAGATATCATCAATGAGAACTAATATTTGGGTTCTTATTTAAGCATTACTGTAATCTTGGATTCACTTGAACTGGGGGGGGCATCTTCTTCTGCAGCACCATATGCTCTAAACCATTGGTTCTCAACGGGGGTGGTACCGCCCCCAGGGGGCGGTGGGAGGATGCTGAGGGGCAGTGAACTTGTTTTGGGCAGTAGGGGGGCGGTGGGCATGTTTTGGCCAGTAGAGGGGCGATGAGCATGTTTTGGCATTCGAACTTAATTTTAAAACTCCCAAAAAAATTTATTAAATCGATTATCCGGTTTACACATGGTGTAAACCGGATAATCGATTTAATAAATTTTTTTGGGAGTTTTAAAATTAAGTTCGAATGCCAAAACATGCTCATCGCCCCTCTACTGCCCAAAACAATTATTAATTTTGAGAAATAGTTATCTTTCCCTCATCATATTTTGCAGCCGCCAATGATGTCGGTTAATAAGTGTCATCAATACAGTTCCACGTACTTGAAGTTCGGATTTGTTCGAATTAAATTACTTAAAATGTTTGCCTTTTATAATTCAGTAACTCCCCCCCCCCATACCCTAAATTACAGGATTTTCACAA